GAGGTCAGTGGCTCTATTTTTAGTGTCTGCGCTGGGATGAAGCTTTTGAATGTCTAGTTGTCATGATAAGGTGATAAGACTGTTTCCCAGCTGCAGCGTGCAGCCTTCACCACACATGAATAGGTTGTTTACAGGGTATCACACGTTCCTCCTCAGATGTCTGAGGACAGTTGGGGAGAGGAGGGAGGCTTTCTGCACTCAAGGCCAGCGTTGGTCCTTTTCCTGTGGTGCAAAAATTTGTCCGTGACAACAGTTGAACTTGCTGGGGTCGTCTAAGGACAAGTAAACACCTGTCCTCAGAAGACCCCAGTAAAGAACACCCACTAAAAACCTGGTTCACTGTGCTGTGAGTTTTACTCACACTACAACATAACAAATGCAAACAGATTTGATTCCATCTTTTTGTAAGGAGACAAACACTTTTATGCATCTGTGAGGAATTATTGCCAACAGTCTAATCGCATACATTTATTTTCAGACTTGTAGGTCAGGTTGTCGGTCACTGCTGGACTAGACCGGCTCAGATTCTTCCAATTTCTCAGTATACTTACTTTGAAAGATCACTGCATCAGAGAAAGCTGAAATCTGACCTTCACACAGCTCTGGAATTATATGATTGTTCCGAAGTCAGGAATAACTTTCTTAGGAATCACATTTACTGGACTGTGAGAATTACTGACTGACTGACTGATGGACTGAGTGATTGATTGACTGACTGACTGACTGAACCGCTGACTGATTGAGAGACTGATGGACTAACTGAATGAATGACTCACTGACTGACTGACTGATGGATTGAGTGATTGACTGACTGACTGATGGATTGACTGAATCACTCACTGACTGACTGACTGAGAGACTAATGGACTGATTGAATGAATGACTGACTGACTGATGGATTGACTGATTGATTATCTGACTGACTGACTGACTGATGGACTGAGTGATTGACTGACTGACTGATCGACTGACTGACTGAATCACTGACTGACTGACTGAGTGATTGACTGATTATCTGACTGACTGACTGACTGATGGACTGAGTGATTGACTGACTGACTGATCAACTGACTGACTGAATCACTGACTGACTGACTGACTGATTGACTGATTGATTATCTGACTGACTGACTGATTGATGGACTGAGTGATTGACTGACTGACTGATCAACTGACTGATTGAATCACTGACTGACTGACTGAGTAACTGACTGATTATCTGACTGACTGACTGAATGACTGACTGATGGACTGACTGACTGACTGACTGACTGATCAACTGACTCACTGAATCACTGACTGACTGACTGACTGATTGACTGATTGATTATCTGACTGACTGACTAATTGATGGACTGAGTGATTGACTGACTGACTGATCAACTGACTGATTGAATCACTGACTGACTGACTGAGTAACTCACTGATTATCTGACTGACTGACTGAACGACTGACTGACTGACTGACTGTCTGATTAATGAATGTTCTATGTTATGTACTGCCCAAGTTGCAAATAATGAAAATGTGATTTGGGAAAGCCTAATTTTTCTGGAAGTAGGTAAATGATGCAAAGCACCCCAGAGATAAATCTTCAATGCACATCAAGCCCCTTTCCCTCCACAGGGAAAATGCCACATCTAGCTGGAAGGATGAAAATGAAAGATCATAAGTGAGTTTGTTTTGAGGTTGTAGGCGCTTTAGTGAAGCATTTAATCCAGTTCAGCTTTCTGAGTAAACTCTTACTTTTCATATTATTATTTTGGCTTTAGATGGTTTAACTTCTGAAAATAACAAAACCAAGAACCCTTATAAATATTGATCAGACTCAGGGGGAAAGAATTAATGCGACCTGGTACCATAGTGTATGGATCCTGAGGATCAGTGACAATTACATCAAGATGAAACAGGACGTTCTTTTTAAAAAGAACAGCCACAAAACTGGCCTAGGAAGTAGAAGAACCCCATATTGACGCCCTACGAGTAAAGCGTTAGTATGTTAGTTCACGTTTATGTTCCTCAGATGAATGACTGACACCGCTCAGCGTGGCTGAAGTCCGTCTGGCTCCCTCAGCTGGGCCAGTTATTAACCTGTGTGTCCTGCATGTACGACTCCCTGCGGGAGTTCAGGTCGAGGGATCTGAGGGATGCAGTGGGTGATGAAGCGTCTGCAGGCTCCTCCTGTTGCTGTGTATGAAGGTGTGTTGATGGACACGTCTGCTTGCGCTCAGTGTTTGGAGTCTCGGTGTGGAATCTCTGCCCTTGACTGGCAGGTGTTTGGGGAGTGTGTGCAGTTATAATCATAAGAGCAAGAAGCCGGACAAAGAGGCTAATTAAACATGGCTCATGCCAAGACGCCATCTGTGGGAGTTCAACATCAGCAGGAATGCAGAGTGGCCTGCAGGAGAGAAACGCCTCATCATGAGAGACGAGAACCACATAAAAACATTACGTTCAGCACTGAATCTGAAATGTTATACTTCTCTATGTTATCTGAGCTCAAATCTGAGGAAATCCTTCAAATCAATTACAGCATAAAAAGAGAGTTTTTATCACTGATTTATATCAACTTTCATAGCAGACTTTCTTCAACATATGAATTGATCAGGAATTCATGTGTTAATTATGTTGTTGTCACAGGATCTTCTCAGAGTCACACATGTGTGACAGTAACACACTGAACAGACCAGACAAACACAGCCTGATAACAAGGATTAAACTAAGAGACTAATAACATAAAAATACAACAAACAAAGTAAAGTAATAATAAAAAACAGGCAACATGAAAGAAGCTCAGGAGATGAATATGAGACGTGAACTATAAAACATACAATAAAAACGATTTTACACAGAATATTATAGAGTGATATGAACATTGCTGAGTTGGGCACCTTGTATTTTGTATCTGTCTGTTTTTATCTGTCAGGTCTGGAGTTTATTGACAGGACCCTGGTCACTTGGCTGGAAACCAAACCCAGACCCTTTTCTCTATGAGGCATAGCAAGCTACCCCCTGCACCACCATGCTGCCCGACCCAGAAACTCAACAGAGTTCTCCCCGAGTCTGTGTGGGTTTCCTCCCACAGTTCAAACACATACAGGCTGACTGGACACACTAAATTGCCCCCTAGGTGTGTGAGTGTGTGAATGTGTATGTCTGTCTGTTTGCCCTGCGATAGACTGGTGAGCTGTCCAGGGAGTTTCCTGCTTTCCGCCCAGTGACCACTGGGATAGACTCCAGCAGCCCTGCCAAAAAATTGCCTTCTTCATCATGAGAATCCTTCAGGCGGGGGTTCCCAATCTCAGTCCTGGGACCCCACAGTATGCACATTATGTGCTTTCGCTTATCTAGCACACCTGACTGAACTCAAGCTCCTGTTGTTCTGGCTGAGGTGCGTCACAGTGAAGAAAATACAACACTGTGCAGAGTCAATTCTCAATTCACTGTAAAGAAACCAATGATTACTGATTCTTCATGATGAATTCATAATATCTGTGTGTCCTAAATTAATGCAGGTAATTATTCTGACCTTAGTACTGATTAAAAGCTAATAAAAGAGTTTTATGATTATTTACCAAAATAACAGTCATTCTTTTGCTCTCACAATAACAGTGATGAATGATAAGTACAATAGGGCTTATCGGGGGGCGGTCCAAGACCTCAAACAAGTTAAAGATGGAGCCCACAACTCAGCTTAACTGAAAAACTCAGAACACCAGACAAAAGAAAAGGGAGCGTGCAGCTCCAGGCGCTCGGCTGTGTGCAGTTAGACTGTGTTCAGACTGCAGGTCGGTCAGATTCACTTCTAAAATCAAAGCTTTAGAGTCGACTGTCCACCCTGTTATCTGTGAGAGATCAGATCAGATTTGTGTGTCCAGACATCACCAGTCTATCTGGGTTGCCGTGGTAACGACGTAGGCGTCAGTAACTACGTAGCTACGCTGTTGATGTGGATTTCAATCGCGGATGCAGGAGAGATGGAGGAGCATCATCTCCCCTCCAGACTCCTCAGAACTCTCATCATCATCATGAATCTTTGGAGCTCTTCTTCAATCACAGCACTTCACTCTGGGTTTGACATTGTCGCTGTTTGTCGTGTTGTGAGTGACGCGAAAGACACTTTGAAATCCCATTTAAGCATCCAGACTGAGACACATCTGTAAAAATCTGACTGGAGTTGCATTTAAAACCAGCTCCAAATGTGGTTTGGATCTGATTTGCAAACAAACGAGATTCACAAATGTGCTGAAATTGTGTTTGAGCAACTACATACACGTGAATCAAATGCACAAATGCGTAAAAATATTTTGAATAGAATGGATTTTTGAATGTGCAAAAAGATCGGCAAATGTAGAAAAAATGTAAAATATATATGATGACACGATATTATTGTTGTTATGATTAAACTGGATGTGGTGTTTGATACACGAGACACACAAAATCAGCAGCTTCGTCTGATTGCTTACGGAGTGAATAAAAATCTGATTTCTACAGAAGTCTAAAGCTGAACAGTAAACAAATATTTTTCTGTCATTTTTCTCCAGAGCTAAACTTCTCCTTACAGCACCTGTGTGGAGACCAGCCTATCATCTCTGCTGGTATCAGCCACACATAATGTTACTGTCCTCTGCATGGTCCCATTGACAAAGTGCTGCAGGAGAGAAAAAATGTGTTCTTTCTCAGTCCTTCCCTTTCTTTCGTCTATCTGTCCTCCCTCTCGCCATCTCTCCGTTGTAAGACATGAAAACAATGTAGAGTATTCCAAGGACAGACCTGGTGTATGTGTAGATAAAGCGCAGGTTTCCCAGGCTATCCGGAACAACAGTCACTCTCTTCCTCGCCGCCACGCTCCTACTGGACATACAGGCTGAAGAGCATCTCCGAGCAGCGGTCACAGTCTGAGAGTTCTACTTCCTTCAGCGTGAGCCCGGCGCACAGCAGGGCCATCTTTCTGCACCACAGCTCCTCGATCAGCTGAAGATCAGTTTTCTACCTTGCAGAAATGTTCCTGCTGCTCTTTACATCAGTCGTGCTGGTCGGATGTCCCCTCGGGAAAACCTTCATCCTCCAACCAGAGGAACCTGCAGCAGATCAGTTGTCTCCTGCCATCAGGACCAGCAGGTGAGCATGACCTCCTTACCAGGGTTACTGGTCTATGTTAATGACTGCAGTAACTGTGAGGATTTGATTGAGCATTAGTGAGGTCAGGTACTGATGTTGGATGGTCAGTTCTGGGTCACTACAACTCATCCCAAAGGTACTGGATGGAGCTCCATCACTCCAGAGAACACAGTTCCACTGCTCCACAGCCCAATGCTGTGGGGCTTTATACCCCTCTAGCCCATGCTGGGCACTGGACATGGAGACCTTAGGATCATGTGCAGCTGATCCAAATGATTTGTCCTTCAATAATCTCTATTAAGCTGCCACAGAGGGTTATAGTAAGAAGGTATTGGTGTATCTCCACTGGGTTTGTGGTTAGGATGTCTGGAAGTGTTGGGCTGTAAATTCTTCTCAGTGCTGCCAGTTTGGCTGAACGTTTTCTCTTAAAGGTCAGAAGGTCTTCACAACTTCAAATGACACGGCCAAACTTGAGTGAAGGGTGCAAAATGTCATGCTAACTACTCAGCAGGCAGAGTTTAGTCCTAATACAGAGTGAATGTTGTGTATAGAGGCCCATAATGCATGCAGTTGTACAGAGTGGAAGCTAAAAGCTTTGAGTGGCATTTTGAGCAGTTCTTATTGCTGCTGTAGAAGCCAGTGATTTGTGGGGAGAAGCTGTTCTGACCTATAATTACAAAAGCATGTGGAAGCTTATTACACGCTGTACTTTCCTGGAATGAGAAATGCCATCAATCTGCTCGCAGAGACTTTCTCACCCTCTAGCTCCTCTCACGCTTGGCATGTGCTGCCGGCCCGACACGGCTCAAACCAAATCATCAATTCAGACAAAGACCTGATTTGTTCTTAAGTATAGCCGTCCAGTGATCTTTTATCTTGCAAACTTTTATGCTTTAAAGTTTTTTCTGTGGGCATCTGCATAAAACATCTTAAGTATCGACTCCTTAAGAGTCTAAAAATACAAAAAAACATGTTTCACTTTCCACTTAAACACACAGGAACTCCACCTTAACTCTGTTAATGGCCAGCGTCCACCGGCAGTCCCGCAGTTTTATGACACACTTTATAACCTAAGAATAGCTCAGTCAGTTTGTAGTCCCTGTAGTTACTGAGTAATAAGCCTTAGTGTATAATAAGCCTGGGACATTAAGGAGTTAAATTAGTGGTTGGGATGTAATCAAAGTGATTCAAAGTGAAATGAAATGGTTCATTGTAGAGACTCTTTACTTTTTAATAGGTAGTTATGTTATAACTGAAGTTTGGGGGGGGGGCATGCCCAAAACCCTTCCAACCTAACACCCTTTAATTTCACATCCTCACGTTCCGTTACCGTGATGAAGGGTTCATATCCCCACCGCCATCTCCTCCCTGTTCCTCAATCCTACGTCGGTCCTACTACAGCTATGAGGGGGTCCGGCCTTCTAGATACAGGCAGAAGCTCCAGCGCAGGTTCTCAGAGTTCTCCCCCCTCCCTCAGCCAGTCTCCCTTCATACTACCACCACCATGTTGAAGGCACGGACCGAACTCACTAACTCACAACAACACAAATATAGACATTTTATTTACTATCCAGAACCACCAGTGAACCTACACGAGTCTTCTGAGTTTATATGGAATGTTGATGATGGAAAATAGTGGAAAATCTGAAATAATAAGTTTTCTTTGGGGACTATTTTGCCTCACAGCGCCCTGCATGTATCCCTCCACCATGAATGGAGTTTAAGTTCTCTAAACTATCATAAAACAGTGTCTCAGTCGTCAGGCGGTGAATTCATAACCATTTCATGTAGTAACTTTCTGTGAGGGAGCTTTTAGAGGTGGACGTCTGGTTCCTATCACCACCACTGTGAACAGTTCTGACTCGGTAAGTTTCTCTGGAACAGAGCGTTTCACACCAAACCACTCTGAACCCCTCTGATTACATCTTAACCATCTAAGCATGCAGGAATCCTGAAACATCAGAATTAAGGGAGAAATTACTTAAGATGTTTTGGCTCTTTAATATGTGGACGGCCACTTCTTTCTGAGTGACTTTTAATTTGTTGTAGTAAAAACCTCTTTCACATGTGACGGGTGTTACACTTGGTCTTTATCATGGCTAAATTAAAAAATAATTCCTGCTCTGAAGCCATCAACATTCATTCAAATGACAAACCTCCACGTGTTTGGGTTGGTTTCTTTAGATGTACATGTGGAGTAACTTCTTTATTTGGTAAATGTGTAATTATGGTGGCGACAGTGTGGATTAATGTCCTTATCAGCCAAGTTTGATGCCTAAACAGATTAATTTTATGCCAAAACACTGTGAAACGTCTTCCTGAACGTGCTGCGTTCTAATGTGGCTGATGTTCCGTGTTCACAGATGTCAGGCCGAGTCCCTGCAGAGTGTCCGAAAGGTCATTCTGGACTCGTTAAACCTGCAGGCCGAGCCTCACATGTCTGTTCCTGGGATGGCTGCGATTCGGGATCAGTGGAAAGTTGCCTTCAAAGCCACCAGCCAATCAGAGCCCACGCAGCTAAACAACGCTGGTAAATCACACCTTCGCCTGAGGGAGAGCACAAACCCCTGAGTGCTTTTTCACTGTAAAGCCCACTTTGAGCTGTTTTTAGGGACTAGAAGTTTTAAAAAGGCATGTCAGCTTTAATATTACAGTAATATATTGCACTGCAAAAATGAGCTCTTAGTCAGTAAAAACATCTTAAACATAGTCAATATATCTCATATTTCTCCTTATGAGATTGCTGTAAAAATATTATAGGATTATTCCACCTATTTCTGTACATTTTTACTTGTTTTGAGTAATTTAATCTGGTGAAAGTGTCTTATTTCATTGGCACATCATTCTATTTGTTTTAAAACATATTACAGTTTTATCATTCTGCTTATTTCAGGAGAGATGCTTAAAACAAGTTAAATGATCTGCAAATGGAACAAGACACTTTCATAAGATAAAATTACATAAAACACGTAAAAAATTATCTGGAAACAAGTTACAAGATCTTTACAAAATATAAGTTACAAACATATAATATAATTTAATATAATATAAAACAGAAATCATTGTAATATTAATTAGCTTACTTTTAGACATGACATTTTAGTAGCATGTTAATGTGAAAAAGCTATATTATATTCACAATGTCTTATTTATGGTGATAAATTGGTAATAAAGCCAGTTATGGCCTCGTTTGTGACCCATACTGCAAAAATTGCATATCTTGGTAAGTGAAATAATTTTAAATCTAGTGAAAACATTTAATATTTCTGACTTTGAGATTGTTGTAAGAGTATTGTTAGATTAATGAACTACATTTAATATATATATATATATATATATATATATATATATATATATATATATATATACACACACATAATGAACTAAATAATATATGACTGTCATTGTGTTTCCCATAGAGAACCAAATATCCTCAGAATATTCCAGCCCGGCGAATTTGACTGTCCTCCAGTGCTGCAAACTGGCCTCCCAGGTCTTCATCAGAGGTCAGTAAAACTTACAGTCGCTCAAAGCTGCGGAACCTCAAAAAGCTTCATTCTGTCTTCAGAGGATCCTGACGGAGTGCTGACCTCTTCCTCTGCTCACTTTTAGATCTAGGCTGGGACACGTGGATCATCTACCCAGAGAGCTTCACCTACGTCCAGTGCAGTGTGTGTAACCCTCAGGTGGATCAGAGCATCGTCCACTGCGGTGGAGACCGGCTGTCCGCCTCTCAGGTCAGTCTAGCCAATACAAGCAGAAACTTACTGCCACATCTGCTGTGGATCCACTGAGTGGTTTGTTGTGAAACGCTCTGTTCTAGATAAACTTACTGAGTCAGAACTGTTCACAGTGGTGGTGATAGGAACCAGACGTCCACCTCTAAAAGCTCCCTCACAGAAAGTTCCTACATGAAATGGTTATGAATTCACTGCCTGATGACTGAGACACTGTTTTATGATACATTACATATATGCAGAATGCAGAGCACAGAATTTGAATTATAGATTAAAACTCTCTCCGTGTGTCCCGGGAAGCCGGAGGTTCTGACGTATAACCAGGTTCTGTTTGGTTCCAGCGTCAGATTCTCGGCTGCCTGGTCGGCTGTTCTGTGGGAGTTTCTGCAGCTCAGGGCTGGAACAGAGTGGAGTTTTCACAGAGTAGCTATCAGTGCTTTGTCTGAACAGAGTTCCAGCTGAATGTTAAACGGCCTGTACTGATATCTAAAGATCACGGTATCTACACTTTCAGTCTTACTGTGAAGCTAAAATGTTATATTTTTTGTGATTTTTCTAGTGAAATCTGATAAATGTAGATCAGCAATAAGACATTTGAAAGTCTTAATATATCTGTATTAGTATCAACTAAACTGTGTGCATTTGACTTATTACTGTAAAATTGACTTATTACTGTAAAATTGTGCTCCTCATAAAATAAGGAGAGTAAAAATAATTAATGATTATATTTTGAAGTGAAGCTGTATCTATTTTTTTGTATCTATTAAACATTTTTACTGTTTTAGGTCATTTTATCCGGTAAAATTGTCTTACTGGCAGTAAAATGCCCTGTAATATTCCTATAGTAATGACAAACATTAGATATATAGGTTAGACTCCACCCGCCACAATATCATTTTTCAGAATTATTATTATTATCATGAACAGCATGCAATAGTTTGGGTGCCCCCTCTTCAAATTACTTTTTGATAATTTAAAATAAAAATTGGAAAATTGAAATTAAGTCAGTATTACTGTGATAAGTATTACTGTTTACTTGCTAAATTTAACATAAAAGGGGAAAAATAAAACAAATGTGTCCAGCACAAAGGCCTGTTTTATTTTTTTTAAATATGTTAAACTGTACATACAACACAATATGTATTTTTACAATGTTATGCTAAAATAAACAGAAATTGTTCAAAAATATATCATATTTAAGAGAGTTTTATGTAAAGAATGTGTTAACTTGTGTTTTTTTATATCTTTTTACTTGTCTTAAGTGGTTTTATGTGGTGAAATTGTCTTACTGGCAGATAATTTTTCTCATTGTTTTTCTTGAAACTGTGATCTGCCAATAGAATAAGGACATTCTTAGAAATATGAAATATATTGATGAGACTGAAGACGTTTTAATTTGCACGCTGTGCATTTTTATTATTTTTTACTTGACTACTTTGCTCTAAAATCGACTTTTTCAAACATGTTAAAGTGAGCAGTATTTTTATGTTAGAATCAGAAAATTTGAAGAATTGATCCGCTCCTCTCTGATCACGTGATCACAGCGGCCTTGTGATATTTGCAGAGGAACTGAGTGACACTGTGGGTCCGTCAGGGTGAATAAACTGGGGCTGGGGTTGGAGGCCAGCGGTCAGCGTGACTTTAATTTTGGAAGCCAACCAAACCTCCTAAAGCTCCACTGCTACAGCGCTAATGTCCCTGTGTTCCTCTCCTGCAGGTGCCATGCTGCGAGCCCACCGAGCGCAACCTCACGCCCTTGCTCTACCTGGACCACACGGGCAGCCTCGTCATCGCCTCCGTACCGCTGACCCGCAAATGCGGCTGCAGACCCGGGACCGGCCCCCAAACCCCCAAACCCTGAGAGGTCACAGCCTTGGCTCTGAGTACCCCCCAATCACCCACACCTCTCAGACCACCTCCATCACCCTCACATTCTTCTTACTGCTCACTGCTGCCAGGATGTCGATCGATAACAGACACTGTAAATATTCCACATTTTACAGATTTTACTAGCTGAGTGTCCAAGAAGTGGAATTCCAAGAAGAAATAAAGAAATCCGGCTTTGTTCAAGGACTCAGCGCTTTCACAGAGAAACCTTCAACCGAGGCCACATCAGGGGTCAGATCTCCCCAAACTGAGGTTTCTGAGTGTTTTTTAGTGATTTTATAGCTGAAGTCTGGCGAGGATTTAGACAGCGGTCTCTGAGTGTTCCTCTCAAAAATGCAAGTTTAGCACCCTGCCAGACTTTTCCCAGAGTGGGTCTCTAAAGCTTTCAAGTAAACAGAGTAAGAACACGCTGACGCTTTGCAGTCTCTGCTCCGGAGTGTGTAACTCCGACTTTTCTGCACTGATAAAACAGCCTGGAATCTTCACCATGTTCCAGTTTAGCTCTGAAGGGTTAAAGTCCTCAGAAAAGGTCTTGAAAAGATTTTGGATACTGAGTATATTCCTGGAACGCTCCAAGGCCATTCCATGTCACCATGTCTTATGAGCTATAAGCTGCTTAAAGGGCCCATATCCTGGAAAACCGCAGGTCTGTTTACTTAAAAAAAGGGTTTGATGTATTACAGAAACATGATTAAAGTTTCTAAATGTGGAAATTTAGCACCTCTGTTAATAGGGGTGAGGGCAGCCAATTAGAACAGAGCTCATCTACATATATCAGTCTTAAAGATGCATCAAAAACAGCCTGTTTAACTGTGGGGGATAAAGAGACGCTGGAAAATTTAATGCAGGAATGAATTATATATATAAAAAAGAAAAATACAAGAAAACAAAGGATATGGGGCCTTTAAATAAGAACGCTTTTAACCTTTAAAGAACCCTTAAAAAAGTTTTATTTAATCTTTCAAAGTTTTCAAACTTACTTTTTACATTTATTTACATTACTGTTTTATTTTTATGTTGCTATTTTGCTGTATTTTCACTTTTTTCTAATATGTTAATTTGGCTGGTTACAAAGTTTGGACATTTTTGGACACTCGGTAAATTAGAGCCAATCTGAGCTTAAAGCTGTTTAAACTGTTTAATTCAGTCCTGCAGAAGTTTTATTTTATCTGTGCCTTCCATACCCCCCCCACCCCCCACACACACACACCCCACCCCCCTTGCACCCGCACCCCCCCTCACACCCGCACCCCCCCACACACCCCATCCCCCCTCGCACCCGCACCCGCACCCCCCCATCCCCCCTGCACCCGACCCGCACACACCCCCATCCCCCCTTGCACCCGCAGCCCCCACACCCCCCCATGTTTATTTGGCTAGACTGTTTCCTTCACTCAGTTACGCTGTAGTGCCATTCGCTCCTTCTGTATCACCTGAATGGATTCACTTTTAACACCTTATATATAATTTTTTGTAATATTACTATAATATTTCAGACATGACCAGATTTTATCACATTAAACGCATGTTATAACAGGCCACTGCCTCACTAAACATTTCTTTTACTGTTTTCATGTTACAGAGCAGATTAATTTTATATTAGCAAACAAATGTATAACATTTCATTAAAATAAAAGCTTGATAAAAAAATTCATTTGTATTTGTGTTTAATCAGAAACACCTCCACAGATGTGCACTTTACCTGCACAGCTGGCACACCTTCATGCCCAAAAAACCAAGCCACAGTTTGTACAATCTCAATTACCAAAAAGTTGGGACAGTGAGTGAAAAGCTAATTAAAACAGAGAGCAGCGATCAGTGAATTCTGCTCTGTATTACAATTAAAAAAGGTACTTTTTGCTGTTTTACCTGATGAGCTTCATTGTGTTTGTAAATATTTGCTCATTTCCCAATTTGATGCTTCCAACGTGTTTTTGGAACACGTTCCAAAGTAGTTGTTACAGCATCATGTTTACACTGTGTTACATCAGCTTTCCTTTAACAGCTCTTATCAACCAGGGACTGAAGACACAAACAGGTCCAGCTTAGAAAGAAGAGTTTTCTTTCTTCTGTTATTCAAGTCTTCAGCTGTGCAACCATACAGGCCCTTTGTTGTTGTATTCTGAGCTTAATAAGACACTCATTTTCAGTGTGAGGCAGTTCTGGACTGAAGGCGGGTCAGTCTAATACTCTTATTATGCAGACATGTTTCTTGGGATGTCATGTTGAAATAAACATGAACGTCCCTGAAAAAGACGGAGTCTAAAAGGCAGCATACATTGCTCCAAAATGTGTCGAAGTCTTTCACTGATGTTTTGTCGAAGTGTTCCTGATCATCCCAGAGATTTCTCTGAATTGTCTGATTCTGTTGATGATATTCTGCACTGTAAAGGGTGAAACACCTGAAATCCACAGTTTCTCACTGAGGAATGTTATTCTTAAACTGTTGGACCATTTTCTGATGCATTTGGGTTTTTTTGGGCAAAGTGGCCTCGACCCGTCATCACATCACCTGATAAAGGGTTCTTTGCATCATGCAAGGTTCTTCAGATTGATAGACAATGTGCTGTAGACGGTTCTACAAAGCACCTTTTAGAAAGTGGTTCAATATAGAAATAACAACAGCAGAACCCTTTTTGGTGCTATTTAGACCCCTTTTCAAAAAGGTACTATAGAGAACCACTTACTATCCTCTGCAAACAGCAATCTAAAGAATGCTTTCACAATGCAGAGAACCCTGTAATCATGCAAAGCGTTCTTTGAGTGTTCATGGTTCTATATAGAACCATTTTCTTTCCTAAAGAACGCTTGAAGAACCATCTATTTTAAGAGTGCAGTGTTTTGCTGAAACACAGGTCAATGTATGTTTATAAATCACTGCTTTCTGTTTTTGTTTGCATGTTTTTTCCTGTCCGAACTGTTTTGGCCGTGTGTGTGTCTGAGGAGCAATCATGAAGATGAAGTTGACCTATTTGCAGGCTATTGTATTTCATTGTGGGGGCTTCTCGGGTTGCCAAGATTATTCTGGGAGCTGCTTGGCAGTGAATCCACCTTAATCGTGTCCAGCTCACTTGGCACTCCGGACTCCAGCAAGTCTCTCTCGCACTGTCCTGCTGTTTCTCTGCTCCTTCTCCGTCTCTGTCCATCCTGACAGGCAGACTGAGTGGTGAGACTGAAATGGGCTCCGTGGACGGCCAAACCGAGTGAGTTAAAGAGCGAGGGGGAAGGAGAGCGAGTTGAGCAAACACAGCCGAACTCCGTGAACAGGGAGGGTTTTTTTGCTCCTCTCAAGCAGCTCTGGGACAGAATGGCGTGTGTCCGGTCCTTCTGGCTGCAGTGGGGGACTCTGTGTTCTCTGCTTGCCTTCCTGTTTGCTCAAGACAGTTTGTGGGACTGCACAGAGAAGGATGACCTCCTGAAGGACGTTCCAGCAGACCTGGACGTGCCATCTGAATGCACACTGGGCTGCACTGCACTGACCTACAGGGGCATTGTGGAGGCACAAGAGAAACTGACCGTCCGCTTCAGGGATTCATACATTGGTGAGTTACAGATACTGAAACGTCTCTGTTCTTCAGATTTATTTGAGGTCTGAACTGTAACATTAGAAGATTAGAAGACCTGCCATTCGGGTCATTAAATTGTCTGCTAGCAGCAAAACACGGTGACTGGACTTCTGAGAAAAGTTGTGGTATAACTTGACTTGCTGCTTCTAGATGACTGTATAGACTGAATCTTCAGTTGAAAAAATCCAAGTAAAAACTTTAATTAATTAATTAATTTATTTATTTATTCATGTGCTCCAAACAGCTGTACTTTTAAAGTTTGTGCTAAACTGCATTTTAATTGTTACAGAATGACTGAGCTGAGCTCAAATTAATTTAACTGGGTTTAATTACATAATATTGCAAGTTATACCAAACGAATTCATGATAAAAAAACTTATTTTTAACGTATCTGTTGTGAGAGATTACATCTCCATTTATGTTTATATAATAAACAGCTCATCTGAGCAGTAAGTGTGGTTTTGCATGTAAACCACTAAATAACATGTAAACAAACATAAATACAGTAAAAGTAACACACAGTTCTTGTTTTTTGTTTTAGGTCTTTGAAATGTAAGCTGGATTTCACCGGAATTTTTGGTCAATTCTCAGAGTTATTTTTGCAAATTTGAGGTTTTATGTAATGTTTGTGTCGTATTAGGTTGAAGTGCATGCAGACTTTTCAGCATTTAACAGGTTAATTTGGAAATCCAGTGTTTTTGTTTTTTATTTAATGTTTTAATTAATTTTTTAAAATGATCCCACCGTTAAAGATTCATACACATAACATAACAACATAACACGAACAACAAACCTGCCCTTATTCAGGAAACAAATCTGAATGAAGTGGATTATAAACCAGGGTTAAAAGGTCACCGAGATGGACTTTTAGTTGTGAACTCACTTTGCACTCAGGGTGAAGCTTCAAATATTGAATGTAGAAATTAATGATTCACAGATTTGATAGAAATGCAGGAATACTAAATAAATCCTTAAAGTTGGAAATCCATGACATTACTGGACAGGCCATTGTCGGTTTTCCTGGAATGACCCGGACTTGTTCTTAGTTATTAAGAGTCACTCAGGTCAGTGAAGCTGTAAGCAGTTAAAACAGTGTTTAGCAGCGTTTTTCTGTGGAAATCCTTCACCTGAGCTGGAGGCCCAGGTGAGCTGAATAACCCAGTGTTGGTGACGTGTTCAGCCTTAAAGTGATTCTTCGATGTAAAATCACATTTAAACTGTTCTTACCTGTAAATGTAGTTTGTGTCTAAATCATCACTGCAGCCAAACAGACAAAAGTTTGTTTCACAACGAGTAACAAGTGACAAAAGTGTCTGTTAGAGGTTACTGAAAATCACACAGTGCTGTGCAGTCAAATTTATGTATTTGTTGGTTTTCCAAGTGTAAATAGTTACACATCCTCTACAGA